GGGTAAGTTATAAAGCAAGAGGAGTTTTACGATGACTAGCATTCTTGGTTAAAAATAAATTTTTATAGTAGAAATCAAATTTGTATCTTTACAGACTGTTTGGTACTAAATGAATCGAGAATTCATTTCGTTGTAAAATGAATTACCGTCTAGAATTTATTGTCAAATGAAATCTTATGTTTGATATGTCATATTGAAATCTTTAGAAATAAATGAATTGTCATGTAGAATTCATTGTCAAATGAATTCCTGTGTTTGGTATGTCATATGTAGAAGTAATTTAGTTAATAAAATAGGATAATTATGTCATTCTTATATAATTAGTAAATACTTGTGAAATTCATTTGGAAATTTCATCTCAATTCCACGGAATTGCTATAACTAGTTTCAATTCCATAGAATTTAAAATTTAGAATTGGAAATGAATTCTTTTAAATACCAAACACAAAAATTTCATTTCAGAATGAATTCCTCAATACTTATGAAATTCATTTATACCAAACGGTGTTAATTTTATATAAATTCAGTTTGTACCTATATATTTTCGTGCAATTCCATTATGGTACAAACTAAACTTGTACTTTTAATGTTATTGTACAACTCTAAGTTCTTATATCTTTTCGTGTAAATTCCTATATGGTTCAAGCTGAACTTGTACATTTAGCGTTATGGTAGAAGTTTAGTTTGTATCTATACATTTTTGTATAATTCCTTTGTGGTACAAACTGAACTTGTACTTTTAGTATTATGGTACAAGTTCCGGACCAATACTATACTTTGGAGTATAGTAGGTGGAATAAAAAAAACTGTAAAATATGAAACTTGGTGAAGAAAGAGTGAATAAGTCCCAAACTGAAAATTATAACTTCATTTAAAAAAAACAATTCAAAAGCAAAGTTTACAAGAGAAATTACTTTGCAGGCTTTTTAATTGGTATCAATAAAACGAAATCCAAACTATGACAATGTAAAGATGAAAAGGAATGCAAAGAACACACTAATTAGTACACTCCCAATTTGGGCAGCAAAATACTAATTCATCAACAAAAAGGTAAATAAATACTAAACCTACCAAACTAACCGAGAGTCCAAAAACAAAGCTAGTAAATACTCCGTTTAATACATGTATATGTACTCGTACGTATTTTATTTATTTAAAACTTTCCTATCTGTATTATTATCAAGTCGTTTCATATTTTTCCATTCCATGGATGGCTCCCGTATTATAAAATTCGTATAACACGTTTAATATCCGTGTGTAATGAATTAAATTGCTCACTTTACTATTATTTATATATTTATTTATTTTTAACATAATTAAAGTTATAAACTTATGACTATGAATGTATTATTAAACGTAACATTAGTTTTAGTAAAATATCCATACATATTTTATATGTAACTTTCACATAACATATTTTACTAACTTTCACATAACATATTTTACTAACTTTGTCCAAAAGTACTTAAACAAAAAGCCAAATTAAAAATTTTCAAGGTGGACGCTGCAGAGCAAAAGTGTGAGAAAATAATGAAGAAAGTTTAGTTAAAAGAGATAAACTTGTTAATCTTTAATTTAAGGATAAAAGAATCCGCGCATCTCCCAAATCTCGTCCGAGTTATACGTATCTTTTTCCAAACTTTTATTTTTGGGGACAAGTAACCAAAATCCAACATTAATAACTTTTCATTTCTTATTTAATGGGGACAATTTATACATTTTGTCCCTAATAAGACTTAAAACGATATTTCCGAGGACAATATATATAGTTGTCCCCCAATACTAGTCCCCAAACCTATTTCTTTTTGTAGTGATTTTCTTCGATCTTGATCCTTACATTTCTGATTTGTCCTATGCTGGTCTCAGCCTGATACTCTGATTATGTTGCGAAGCTTGCTCATTGTTAGACATGAAAGCCATAGCTTCTCATAGTTCAATTGGATTTTTCTTCTCCTTTAAGTACAATGATGGCTAAGGCCCTCTTTGGTATCATTCCTAGTTTTGTTTAGTTATGTTTTCATCTATATTGTGACAAAAATGGCTGGCACTTGGCAACAAAACAAAAATTATCCGAAAAGAGTAAAATCATTTTAAGTAACTTTCTCACTATTCAAAAAAATTGTTTATTTTTTAATTTTATCACTTATTGAAATAATCTCGTTCAAATGATTATATGACCATCACACTATACCCACTTTCTACATATTTTTCTCTTTTCATTTGCGCATAACTCATCTCTGAAACCTTACTCCCAGTAAAATACAATTTTATTAGCCAAAGTTACCAAACCTTTCAATTATTTAACCAAACTTTTGGAAATACAAAGTATTAGTCAAACATTAACTTTTTGTTAGCATTTTGTTAATAATGTTGACTTGACAACAAAATGTTGAGTTGGAAGAGACACTTGAGAGTCAATATTTCAAAATTTAGTATTTAATTTAACTTAGAAAAAAATTATAAATTTATTAACGATAACAAAAAAAATGGCTAATATTTTGTTGCGTTACAAAAGATTTGGCTTATACTTTGTATTTCAAAAGGGTTGGCTAATTATTTGAAAATTTTGAAAGGTTTGGCTGATATATTGATATCTTTTTCTCTCTTAATTTTCTCATACCTCGTCATGCTAACCTATTGCTCTCATCCTTTTCCTAATTTTGTCTTAGTCTCAACTCTCAACATTGATAATAAATGGGTCTAAAGATGTGACAAAAACAGTGTTTCTGTTTTCTCTATGAACTAAATATGTTTTTGTTTTCTGTTTTCATACTATTGTGATTATTACTCTGTTGTCACAATTCTACCGCAACCACAGCAACAAAACTATACTATACGAAATGAAATGAAGAAAGAAAGAAAAAAAACCTACCTCATCAACTCAATGTTAACCTTCCTACAATTGTAGCCATCTTTTTTATCTCTTGGATTTATGAAAGGGGAAGGGGGCCAGAAAGGGTAGGTGAATGGTAATCGATGGAAGGGGAAAGGGTTGCCCGGTCCATATTTATGTGACAGTTAGAACGCACACTAATGGCAACATGGCCAATATTAAAGGAGGGAGGGAGACTGCTACCCAAATTCCATCAATCTATGAACCAATGTGTGTAAATCTGTTTACTGTTATGGACCTATGGATGGTGATGAATGTGGGAAACAGGGTCAATCACCATAAAGGGTAAGTGGGTAACTAATATTTGGTATCACGACCAAATAAATCACTAAAGTTTATAATGATTAACAAAATAATTTGATCCTCAACTCAATTTGATTTTCCCATCCAAAATATGCATATTATTATCAAATGCTGATCCACCCAATTTTTAGTATAGTGAAGGGGTTTTCAGTTTTGTATAGAGATGGCACTAGGGTGGCTTATTCTAAACTAATTTTCATCTCCATTTTCAAATCATAAGCTCATATTGATATTCTCTACATTCCCATGTGGTGGAAAATTTTCATCTTTTATCTCTGTGATTTTTGGATACTCGCATTTACGGGCTAAAATTCTTTCGAACGATAATACAATGAAGTTGAAAACATAGATAATTTAGGGCATATTAAAAGAACATCATATATCGTAATTCATAAGATAGGCATAAAAAGTATGTTATTTATAACAAGAATATTAAGTGTAAGTATCTTAATTATTACAAGAATATAAAGTGTTAGAGGACATTAGGGTGAAGAGTTGCACAGGCATTATGGAATTGGAAAAGGTGGGATTAAAGAGTTTGGAGTTGTGTTATTTTGAAGTTTTGGTAGAGACTGTGAAGAGAGAATTAAATAACATTCATCCCCAATTTTGTATTACCTTTAATTAATTATAGAATATGGGGGAGCAAGGGAATATAGTATTTGTTATGAACTTTAAAATTGGATTAAGTACAAATTTGTATAGATTGAACATAAGTTGAAGCGATCTCTCCGAGATGATTACACGGGATCGTTTGGATGAGGAATTGTAACATAAATTTGATGAAGATAACCTAAATTACTACTGATTTAGTTACTTCAAACTTAAGCGACAAGCTCGTAAATATAAAAATCAATGACCCTAAAGCTCTATGACCATTTATATTATATATTAGGGACCCTAATATTTAGGGATTACTTTTGTAATTGACCTAAGAAGGATACTATCACACCCAACCCAAAAAAATGCAATATTAGGTTACCCTCACCCTTAGTTTAATTCTTCCTCTTATTTTCATTTTCCTTACTTTCATCCTCATTCCTTAAGCTTACCCTTTTAGTTTGATGGGGTGCTTGTTTGGCTTTATAAAAGAAAGGCTGAGTCAGACCTTGTCGAAGTTGAAATTTGCTAATTTAAATGGTTATATAGAAAGGAAAAGTGTGATCAATAGATAGTACAAAACCAATAAGCTAAGTACAAGTTTAGGAGATATTCGTTTTGTTTGAAAAAAAGTTTCTAACTCTTTAAATTGGATTTTGTAAACAGTCCAAACAAAATATTAATTAGATATCAAGAATCGATAAGCTGATTGAATAGCCAGACAAATTCAAAACAACTTTTATCCCCTATGCTTGAATTCAGATCATTGATCGAATGATTGTGTATTGGTTTTCTTGTAGACTTATCCAACCTTAGAACTAAAACATCTTTATTTTCATACAAAATTGAAAAGAATAAACTTATCTTGATAGATCTCAATTATTGAGGCAGTTGAAACAATATCCACATTATTTTTCTTATGTGCTCCAGAAGTGAAAATTCCACCTAAATATAAGTGCATGCGTAGATTGTCTGATATTTGTCTCATTCTCATACTTGTCTGAATTTATAACATATAAGTTTTTAACACATACTTTTTATTCAGAACTCTAATACCTATCAAGAATTAATTTGTTTCACTAATTCGAGATATCATATAAAATCAATGAAAACACCATTAATAATTAATTAAACCACTCAACCCCTCCAAGCTTGCTAATCCCAGAAAGTAGCGCATTACTGGGTTTAAGATTAACTAAACTAGGCTTCCTTCATGAACTTTTGTTGCTTCCTTTCCTTATTTTCTTGTGCCATGTTCTTCAAACTACCCATTGCAACATTTGAGAAACCCTTGAGAAAGGGTTCGGTTAGCCTGACTACCCCTAAAGGGGTAGTCATTTTCGACACCCATGATCTAAGCCGTCCATTGTAGATAGTCTTAATCTAAGATTAATTGCTTACAGTTAGTAATTATTGCTCTAATTGAATAATTAATTGCATAGAAAAAGAGAAAGAATTAAAAGTGGCGACCCCACCCATAATTTTAAATTCATTCCCTCTTACCTTTTTCACTTTCACCGTTTCAGTTCCCCTTCCCTTCTATACCTCTGCCTCCAGAACCCACAAAGAACCCTTCGCCGCCGACTCCTAAAATCGCTGGCGTAGACCCTAATATCCTTCACAAACAGCGGTCGGCCACTCCCTCCCGTCGGAAGTCGTCTCTCTTTAATCCCGAACCATAGACTTCAGCACCCGCCGCAACCCTTCGACGCCGACTCATCACTACCCCTTCGCAACCCTTCGCATCCCTTCGGCGCTGCCGTAAAACATCATCTCCTTCGCAAACAGCGGTCGGCCCGTCGGAAGTCGTCTGTCTTTCCCCCCGAACCATCGACTTCGAACCCGCTTGATCGATTCCCGTCCACGATAGTATAGCTGCGACAGAGGCTATTTATGGTGTCTTGTTTAATATTTGTGTTGTTTGAAAAACAGTTGGTAATTACAAACGCGTACCAGTACTCTGGTACATCTATCACTGCACTGGTACATGTACCAGTGCACTGGTACATCTATCACTGGACTGGTACATGTACCAGTCCATTTGTACATGTACCATTCTATGTGATAAAAATAATTCAGAATATAACCAATATACGAAATATAATTTATCTCCCTCAACCACAGTTCTTTAAAAATTGAGCACAGTTCATAAAACGAAAATAAAAAAAACAGGATTCAACAAATAGAAGTTGACAGGATATCACTATACTGGTACATCTATCACTGTACTGGTAAATGTACCAGTACTGTGGTAAATATATCACACAACTTGAAACGCGTACAAGTACTGTGGTACATCTATCACTCCACTGGTACATGTACCAGTCCACTGGTACATCTATCACTGGACTGGTACATGTACCAGTCCATTTGTACATGTACAATTCTATGTGATAAAAATAATTCAGAATATAACCAATATACGTTATATAATTTATCTCCCTCAACCACAGTTCTTTAAAAATTGAGCACAGTTCATAAAACGAGAAAAAAAAAACAGGATTCAACATATCACTATACTGGTACATCTATCACTCTACTGGTAAATGTACCAGTACTGTGGTACATATATCACACAACTTGAAACAACGTTATTTAATATTTGTGTTGTTTGGAAAAAATAAAAAACGCGTACCAGTACTGTGGTACATCTATCACTCTACTGGTACATGTACCAGTCCACTGGTACATGTATCACTGGACTGGTACATGTACCAGTCCATTTATACATGTACTAATTTATGTGATAAAAATAATCCAGAATATAACCAATATACGTTATATAATTTATCTCTCTCAACAACAGTTCTTAAAAAATTCAGCACAAAAAATAATGGATCCCGCCAGCCGTGTAGTGATGATCCAGAGCTATGGTTCTCCACGGCGGCGGCGAATATTCAAAGTACCAGTTCGACAGCCCCAGCGCGTGGAACCGGCCGACGATGCGGGTCAGGTTGGAGGTCGGAGGCGAAGGGAAATAGCAGAGACGGGAAGCGGAAATAGAAACAAATGGAAAGGGAGTAGAAACGCCACAATTTCCATCCATGGTTCCAGGTAAATTGCCCCACTTCCCGTGCATAATTAATATGCCAGTTGTTCTTTTCTCCATCCATATTTATAGAAGACAGCCATTAATAGTTGCCTGATAATTAAGTAGAACCCTGACCAATCAAATGGGGGGTGTCGAAAATGACTACCCCTTTAGGGGTTAGCATAGTATCCCAAGTTCAGTTCTTTTTGCCATTTACTGCAAAAGGGATCCAATGGAGAAGAGAAAAAAATAGATGCCAAAAAGTTATGGCCGAAGGTGGGGTAGTAAATGATATGACCTTTTTATGCATTAAACCCTAGTCCTACCATGGGACAATACATTCAATACATATATGATGCTTTCATGGTCACTGTTCCAACGTGTCAATTCCAGCCCACCATGTCTTAGCATTTACTCATTTTCTCAACTTCCAACAAGGAGCTTCCAATCCAACTTCCAACTTAAATTCTTACGACAAACGAAATCAGCTTATCCAATGTCGACCAAATGATACGATGAGTGGTCTCATGACAAAGCTGGTAGCTTTCCTTCCCGCACAAGAAATGGGCGGACATGAGACAGAGACAGAAAGATCAACCCAGTGCTGTTTTGCTGCAAATCTGCTGCTTGCCATGGATTTTTCACAAAGTGGTGAAAAACTTACTAAGGAAAGAAGCTTCACTACGTGAAATGAATGTTTCTTGGTATGCTGGCTGGCTCCTGTTGCAATTTTTCAAGGAGCAATTTGCTTCATCTACCTCCAATGAAGAAGGACCCCAGAAAGCTTTTATGAGAATGGTAGTAAAGGAACAACCAAGAGTTAGTTGCTAAGGGTCCATGGCCTCTCAACTTTCAAGGAGGGGACAGTCATCTGAAAGCAGCTTCAGTATTATTACTCCAGCTTTCCATGGCCATTCCACCACTGTAATTATTTAGCAATGATTCCATGTGTTTCACTTCCTTCGGCATCGACCCTGTAAGGACCTAGTTTGCACCAACAGGGAAAAAGCACCCAAAATCTTTTTATATCTGATTTTCGGGACCAATCTAGGCAACGTGGAAAGTTTCCATTAATGCTTAATAGGTCAGTAGACAGGGCCATAGGGAGGGTACCTCATAACCGGTTTCTGTAATTAGGACCTCATCCTCAATCCTTATGCCAATGCCTTGGTACCTACAAAACCCGGTAAGATAAGACGCTCGGATTGAGTAGTTGATACATGTTACAGACGTGCTTTCTGTAATATGGTAAGCATGAATATGTCATCAGCAGCATTACCTCTCTGGAACGTCTTCCGAATTCGGTGGAATATATACTCCAGGCTCAATGGTTATGACCTGCTCGAGGAAAGCAGTGCAGGTTGTTAGGTGCACTAAGAGTTGAACTTCAGCATCTGCTGGCATATCACATCCTAACCATACAAATAAAATGGAGATGATGAAGAAGACAGCTTACAACACCAGGCTTCAAGGGACGATCATAGCTCATGGCAGAACTATCATGGACATCCATTCCAAGGTAGTGACCTATCAAAAGGGTAAGAGAAAATAGTAACTAAGAACCAGCTTACTGCTTCAAGCCACTAGTAGCTACATAATCAAATATATAGCTACCGTTTCATTAGCCATCAGAAGAAACTCAGACAAACCTATAGAAGTTGGATTCAACTGATGGTAAGAATTGCTTCCACTATTTTTCAGAATTCCAATCTCTGCAAGTCTTTTACGCATCATTGAAACCTATTTTGGAACAACCAGGGTGAATTATGGGCAAGTTCGTAAACAGTCTACAACCAAAACAATTGCATCAGGTAAAATATAAACAAGGGATATGAAATACCGAATCATTATGAATCTGTCGAATGCTTGTTCCAGGTCTGCAAAGCTCTATGCATTCTTTGTTTGTCCGAAGAATAAGATCATAAAGTTCTTCCTGGAGTGCATACTTACACCATCAATCCTTCGACTTAACAGTTTCAAACAGTACAAGAGAGAGAACTAAGAATTGTCTAGGAGCATCAAGCATTTGCCAAGAATTAGCAGACTTCACTACACAATATTGCAGATAGAACTGTCGCCCTAAATTGATGGCTTTGAACGTCTATAACATTCATTGGTATCTTGGAAAGCTCATTACGGAAAGATGAAATAAAGGACTAGAGAAAGAAAGACAGCACTTGAAAATGTGAGACTACTAGCAATCACAAATGCAAACAGGAATGCACACGATTTTGGACTAACTAGACTATCTTCATGGCAAGAATGGAAACAAGATGGTGCATTTGAGCATAAAATAGCATTTCAAGCGCTTACTTGTGCGGAAGAGAAACTGCCACATGGAGCCCATGTTCGAGTCAGATCACTGACATAACCATGCAACTCGCATCCAACATCCATCAGAACAAGATCCCCATCTTTAATCTGCATATACATGATCAAAATCATCTCCCTAATAAAAAAAGAATCAATAACATCATTTATAAATTAATTTACTTACTTTCTGATCATTTCGAGAATAATGTATGATAGCGGCATTAGACCCCCCACCAACAACAGGATTGAATCTGCGAAATAAATAATGCATGTCAAGTAGGATGCAAGAACAACTAAGCTCAAGCAGAGTTTTAGTCAATCAGAATTTCTAGTCTTCTTAGCAATATGAATCAGAGATAAGAACAAGTTAAAAGAATGACAGTTAAGAAACTTAATAAGAAAAAAGCTTACGCCATCCTTTGAGCACCTCTCATTTTGCTTTCATATTCAACTTTTGCAGCCAACATACTCTCATATGGGTAAGTCTTGGAATGTAGCATTGTTTGCAAGAGAGCCTAACCAATATTTGAGAAGATAATAAGCACTAGAAAGACTGGTGAAGGATTTCATCTCCAGAGTGAAAACGATAGCAAGGTGGAAGTACCTGACAAATAATTGATGCAGAGTCTCTCATCAACTTCAACTCAGAAGGTGATTTTACCCACCGTAACTCATGTGTGAAACATGAGAGATCTCTAACCTTGCCCATGAGAGCTATACTTTGGAAGGCCTCCAACTCTGTATATGTTGGTACAGCTGTTAAATTGTTATGAAACACCCTGGAACATCCCTTGATCATACCTGGAAGAACCTGTGGCCATTAATTAAAATAAATGACGAGCAAATAAAATAGAAAATGGAAGGCTCATAAAGCGGTTTCTCAAATTAGCATTTCAGTCATTCGTGCCACTGAGAAATCACTTGTTGATATTCTGACTAGTCTATTACTCCAAATTGATCCTGGTAATCTCTTTTAGTTGGGAAGATTTAGGCCACACAAACAGTATGATGGTAGACCGAACCATCGAAAATGTATTCAGGAATTATTTCGTAATTGCAGATCAAAGCAAGTCAAATATCTAATATTCTAGACCAGAAATACTCACTTCTCTTAATTTGGTCAAGGGGTATGCTTTCTCAGCTTTGAATCTCTCCAATGCTACATGAACTCCTGCAGTTGGCCCTTGCCAAGTTACATCCTGCACATTCAGAAGACAACCTTGTAAAAGACCAAAAAGAAGAAAGAAGCTTTCATTGATGAAAAAAGAAAACACAGACAACTGAACATACATGAAACGTTGCTTCAGGCATGAACATGCATAAACCAAACTCATGCCCCAAAACTGCCACGCCACCAGGTTGTTGGCATCCAGTAATATACAAGTAATCAGAATCTTGCCGAAATGTGTAGGGTACGACATCGGTCATCATCTTAACAGGCGCAGCAGCAATTATGGCCAAACTATTCTTTGGAAGAAGATCCAATAGCTTCTTCCTTCTTGAGATGTACTCATCGCCACTTATACCAGGTGTAACTTCCCCTTCTTTCATCAGCTACAAAAAACGAAGCGAATAACAAAAAGAATTTAACTTCCTTCATAACAAAGCATGTGTATAATGTCAAAACAATGGTCTCCAATGGAAGAAATTTAACAGTATCGAATGATTGGGAAAGGTAGAACGAAGTACCTGAGGGTGAGTAGCAGGAGAGGGTTGGCCGATATCGAGGACATCGTTGGTAGAATACTTGTAAGTGTAACTACCAATAACCTGCAGCATAACAATCAGCATCATTGGAATTTAGTTTCCTTTCTGAAGTGACACACCTATAACCTCTTGAATCAAAAGTGCGCAATAAGCACAAAGCATTGAACTAAGCATCTTTCTAAAGAAAATAATAAGTTACCATGCGCAAAATGGAAGTTACTCGGAAAAATTAGATTCAGTAAGCAAAGCAATTGCTAAAGCGGCCAACCCAAGAGACAATTCGAGGTTCAACTCCCTGACTACTGAACTATAAACGAAGTCCCCAAAATACAAGCAAGTAAAAGCAAATCAATTGATGAATGCGATAGGGAAAAAAAGAGCGATGTAATTTACCCTGCTAAATGGAGATGTTGGGCGTAGAAACTTGCGGACTAGAATCTGCATAGTTGTTGTGATACTGATTTCCAACTTCCAGTATCAACAAAACGAAGAAAAATAGTGCGGGGGAAATCCCCAATTCCAGAAGCTCGCTGCGGCGTTTGAACCGACGAAAACTGGAAGATGGTAGCCTTGAAAAAGTCTAGAAAGATGCGAACTTTACTGGAAAAACTCCAATTCCGAGTTCTGACAATCCTTCTTCATCAGAAAGTACTAAAATCTCAGACAGTAGGGTTTAAGCGCTTCATATATTCCCCTTTGGCATCCCGCCTAAGCGTAACATGTGCCCACGTCAGCCGTACCCGTACTCTGCCGCGGGCCGGGTCGTGCAGGCCGGGTGAAGACTGAAAACCGAAGAAGGGGTGTTCAAATGGTTACCATGGTTATAACCAAACCAAATAAAAACTAAATTCCATTAACCATGGAATACAATATCATAATCGAACCGTTCAAATTAATACAACAACCAAATTAACCAAACTAAAGTAAACTAAAGTTTAGTCGGTTTGGTTAATTGGTTAACCAGATTAACCAATATAAAATCACATTATCATTGATGATGAAAATTTTCCGGTTAATGCAACAATTCGCAATTTATATAATGAATAAAACATAACAATCAACATGTAGTTATAGTTGACCCTTAACAAAAATACATGCAACTAAGACAATTATCTTACGATTAGTATAGAAGTATTCACCTAACAAAAATTTATGACAATGATATGGGTTAATGAATTGTTGTGTTTGTGTAAATTGACTTAGTCTCTTAGCAATTATCATAGGCTGGAAATGACCTTCCTTTCAAGTTTTCATTCATCATAATGTATGAAATTTATCTAAATTAGGTGTCCATATGTTGTGATCTACAGTTTACATATACAAATATACACTATATGAGCAATATTGAGCTTTATATATTATGAGTCTAAAATGGATGAACGTTAACTCTTGAGTGGTTATGCAAAGTATTAAGTATGTGTATATAATATATGTTAGATATATGACTAATTAATTAACTGGTTAATTTGGTTTGACTGGTTAGGAGTGTCTGAAACCAAACCAAACCACCTAAACCAAACAAGCTAAAAACTTTAACCAAACCAAACCAATTATCCAAATTATCCAAACCAAATTATCCAAATAGTACCGGTTAAAATGGTTACCACGGTAACCAAACCGTTTGAACACCCCTACTAAAGATGACATTTTGAGTTTGGTAAATTGCACGTTTAGTCACTGGGGCAGTGGCATTACCGTTTGTTACTAAAAATATGTAATTTCATTCGTAGTTACTAAAATTACTTGAATGGTTCTAATTTGGTCACTCTTTATTGCATTCCGTTAGTTTATGCTAACGTCGTTAATTTTTTGTTGATGTGACTAACAAAATCATCTAGTCACCAAATTTAACCCAAAAAATAAAATATGACTTGCCACATCAGGAAACCCGTCACATAATATATTCTAACATAACCCAACAGTGACCCGCCCTCTCAACCTCGACAAAACATATCCAAAACAATAACAAACCCCTCTTCTCCAACCCCCTGCTCCTTCTCAACGACCAACCTATTCTTCTTCCCCAACACCCTCCCCCCTTCTCATCTCTTCTTCCCCAACCTTTTCTTCGTCTCCTCCAAAATCACAGCCTCCATCCTTTTCCAGGTTATCGGCGCGTGATTGCTCCGACGTAGTGAGCCCCACGGCAGGAGGTGAAGCCACAAGCGACCAAAAAGGGAGAGACGAGACGTTCTCAACAACATCATACTACACCTAACCCAACCTCTAATAGATAAACCCCATGCTTCGATTGTCTAAACCCAAACTCGACGTTCAATTTAATATAAAATAATAATTGACCGTTTAGATTGATCGGAGCTCATTGAAGTACATCTAACGCCCAGATGCACTAGAGTATACAAGTATTTACCATAGGGGGTCAGACTGGTGTACTCCTGGAGTATACTATACTCCAGGTACTTCTAGTGAGATATCTCTATCTAGACCATGAACTAGATCGAGCTTGGGGTATTATACTACAACCTAACCTCTAATTGGTAAATCACATGCCTTGATTATCTAAACCCAAAGCTGAAGTTCATTTTAATAGAAACAATGATTGATTGACCGTTGAGATTGATTGGAGCTCATCGAATTACATCTAACGACCAGATGCATTGAAATATACTATACTCCTGGAGTATACCAGTCTTTACCATATGGGTCAGACCGGTATACAGTATACTCCTGTCAGTGGCGGACCCAGAAATTTTCTATAGGGGTGTCCTCTTTTAAAAAATAAATATAAAAAAATTAATAAAAATAAAATAGTAAATAAGAAAATACATTACTCGTACAGGTTAAAAAAGTCCATGATGTGTTTTCATATTCGGAAATAATTGTAGAATACACTTGGTGTCTATCGTGTTAAAAAAATTCTCTCTATATACCCTACTAGACAACTTATCGCATATTCGATTTGTATACTTGTTCTTGATGTAAACCCAAAGCTGAAAGACTCTTTCAACACTTGTCGTACAATCATAAAATAAATATAAATTAAGGGTATCTTGAAATTAGTTTAATTGTTAGGTTTTGAAAATAATTAGAGATAGGGAATGACATTTTACTATTACACAGTGTTCAAAATCGAATAACAAATGAGTTGTAGCTCAATGAAAATTGATTTTATTAATAATAATAGTGTTCTACATTTGAATTACCCAACCTACCACTTATATTCCTATATGCAAATTAAAAAAATGACAGTAGGATAATCATTTTTTCAAATTTCAGGGGTGTCCATCGCTATCAATTATATTTGTTTTGTCCATACGTAAATTACCACCGGGGGTTGGATAACCGTTTTCCCAAAATTTAGGGGTGTCCCGGGACACCCCTAAAACCCCCTGGGTCCGCCCCTGACTCCTGTAGTATACTCTAGGTACTATTGCGGTATGATATTATACCATAACCTCTAATGGAGAAATCTCAAGCCCCGATTATCTAAACCAAACCCGAAGTTCAATTTAATAGAAAACAAAATTTATCGTTGAGATTGATCCAACTCAGCAAAGTACATCTAACGACAAAAAGTGTAGAAAACAAAATTGTGAAACTATGCAACCTGGTGCTTTTGGTTTTCTGTTTGAGACTACCAGAGAAGGGTTGAGGAAAGAAAATGAAGAGGTGGGTCGGGTTTAATGGTTGGGTTGGGCAAGCTGACATGGCAGGTTGTGATGATGTGGCAGTTGTGTTTACTATTTTCCAAGTTAAATCAGGCTGATTAGACGATTCTGTTTGCTACATTAGCACCAAACATGGACCAATTTACTAATATGAGTGACCAACAGTGGAATTAAATATTTCTAGTGACTAAACATGAGACATTTTAATAAACCCAGTATCCAAACATGCAATTTACAAAAAAAAAAATATGACCAACTCATCAACAAAGTTTGATTAGTGCACTAAAACTAATGATTCGTTTGCTTGTTGGATTTGAAAAATGAAGATTTTGGGCAATAAAAACCTTGGAATTTATGAGGGATTTATTTGATTATTGATTTGAAGAGTCTAGTGTTTGCATGATAGATGTGTGATGGATTTGTTACATAAATAACTAACCATCAAGAATTTACAAATCCCAAATCAATATGTGGGATTTACAAGTCCGTGGGATCCACGAATTTGGTTCCAAAATAAAGACCAAATCTGTGAATCCCACAAATTTAGCACCCATCAACAATTAATGGACTTGTGTTAACTGTTAAATCCATAAAGCTTTTGATTTGGATACCAAATCCATAATCCAAATCCAACAAGCAAACCACCCATAATTCTCGCATAGTTGATAAAAGGATAAATTGCAAGTTTGGTCACTTGAATTGCTATAAAAGTTCACGTTTGCCACTAAAATTAATTTATATCATCCATAGTCACTCAGATTAGTTAACCAGTCCAAGTTTCGTCACTGGCCGTTAGGGATGGCAACAAAACCCGAACCCACGGGTACCCACCCAACCCAACCCGTCAAAGCGGGTAAAATCTGTGTTGACGGGTTTTGGGCCGAATTTGGCTTTAAACTCGTTCACTATTCACCGAGTTGGGTTGGGTTTGGGTTTAGGTAAACTCGCCCCATGGGTACCCGTCCACACCCATATAATTAATTTTCTCGGTATATTTAATATTCTAAACAACTAATCTTATTTATGTTTGTGGAGACATGTCTAATTTTTTCTTTCTAATTGTGTAGAATGAAGTTGATGTTATAGAGTGGAGAGTGAAGAAACTTAATTGAAAGGAAGAAGCTTTCAATTAATCATGTTATTTATGGATAATTTGTGATTTGCTTCAATTTTCTTGAGTTTTCTAGATTGGTGTTGAACAATTTGTATAGTTAATTTGTGATTTGCTTGAATTTTCTAGAATGGTGTTTTACATATGGATAATTTGTATTGATAGATTGATATTTGACTTTAATTTCGATAGAAACTTGTTATTGTAAATTTTTTACGACAAAAACCCGTGGGTACCCATGAACTCGCGGGTACCCAGCGGGTTGGGTTGGGTTTGAGTTTTTCAAACCCAATGGGTTTTACCCCGGGTTTTTTTTTCACGGATAAACCCATGGGTTTGGACTTTGGTTTGGCAAAACCCGACCCATTGTCATCCCTACTGGTCGGTCGTTAGTCTCTGTTAACTTTTGTTGAGGTGACAGTCAACTCTCATAGTTGACCGTTAAATAGGTGATGTGGCAAATAAAAAATAAATAAAAATTTAATCTATTAAAAATTTCACGTCATTATCATAAAAAATAAATAAACATAAAATTATAATTATCAAAATCGAAATGAAAATGAAAATTTTCTCCCCAATCCCATTGTCGTCTACCTGATGTGTGCCTTTGCTGGCGATCCCCAATAGCAATAACCACTGCCATTTCCCCGGACCGCCTGAAAGTGTCGATGGCTTCATCCTTAGCGCTGATCTCCACACAGACTTTAGCGTATGTCAGAATCTGACGGTTGTTGCTGCTATGACGACGACGATAATAATCAGTGGTGGCTCGATCAACGTACACAGGCTGTCCAGGCAGCTGACGATGTAAATCAGTCCTTTAGGGTTCATATACTCCTCCGGAATTGTTCCTTAAGGCAACCGGCCAACGGGAAACAGACGTCGGCCGGAGAAATGAGGTAAAAGATGGGGAGGAGAACTCTGTCGCCGTCGCCGCCAATGCAGCAGCAACATCAGTGCACGGTCTCGAACGCCTCATTGGTGTATCGGTGCTACTGCTGGAGCTGGTGGCGCTGTTTGCATAGCCATTGGTGTTGCATAGGGTAGGGAGAGGA